GAACCAAATACCTACCGAGTGCAACGAGGCCACTTTCCTTCCTCTCGCATCGGAATTCTCCTCCATCGCTGCCTTTCGCCGCGCACACACGCTCAAGCTTCTTCTCCCTCTCCGCCCTATACGCAGCAAACACGCCTCCTTTCCTCCTCTTCCTTATGCTCCTTTTCTATAGCCCCCAGTCTGCGTCTCTGCTCAAACCTCTCCTTAACCTCCGCATCCCACTCCTTCAGCCTTCTAGACGCTTGCTTGTCCGACTCCTTGATCTCAAAGGTCAATCCATCGCTCAAAGTCACACAGTGGTGGAACGGTCTGGCAAGAAAAACAAATTGTTACAAAACAAATAAATAAGCAATACTTAATATCACAAGAAAATTAATTAACACAATAAAAATTCCTCACAAACGATGCACGGCGCTGTTGCTTTGTAGGTTCCCATGCATAATTGGGACACATACAGTACCTCTGTCTATATGTTTCCTCATCTTCAGAGATGTCTACCTTGCAAGGATCACCACAAAAGCACATTGGTCGAGGAACACCTTCAGGGAGAGGCTTTAGGTCGTAGGGATTTGCCCTCTGGCGACCATAGCTACAATTGAAAGAATTTAGTCATATTAACGGAGAACCAAACCTAAACCTAGGATTTTCTATTTGTTGCACAGATAATGAATAAACATTGGGATTACCTTGGAATACGAGCTTTACCACGCCTTGGCATCCTAACATTACGTAGAAAAAAAATCAATCCAAAGTACCTTGCAACGAATGTAAAGGTACTAACACTACATCACCATACCTCCCAAATAATCTTTTCATTACAAACCCTAAACAAATTTGAATCCCAACAAACACAAAATTTAACTCAATGATTATAAACCATAACATATACAACAACAACAACACCAACAACCATACATTTGGGTCATTCAATCATTTGAACCACCATACACTGCACGAATGACATGAACATGAACCAAACCTATAATGCCAAGTTCAAAAACAAACGAATCTAAATGAATGAATTGAAAGAGAGGAAAGAGGAGTACCTTGGCAAAACACCTTGATCATAACAAATTAAAATGTAATGACCAACAAATAAATAAAATACATAGTAACCCTAATGACCAACAAATAACTAACCCTAATGACACCTACAATAAACAAATAACCCTAATGACCAAAATAACTAGAAACCAAACTAACCTAACATGTTCATCACATAAAACAGTTAAACAACAATGCACTCAATGATCCTAAGCCATACATTTTGCAAATGCAAACACAAATATACCAAATCACCAAACAACCATGATTTCAAATGATTAGGGACAATGTAAGCACATCTACACGGATAGAATGGAGGAGGGGAGGGACCATTACCTCGAGGAAGCTTCGGGAGACAAGATCCGGACACCGGAGGTCGATTTTGGAGGTTAGAGTTTCGTGGGGGCCGTGGGGGATTTGGGAGCTGTGGGGGAATGGAGGTGGGAAGGGAACAAGAAGAAGGGACCTCGGCGCGGCCTAAAGGGTCCAGACCTCGGTGTTGAGTCGGGTCACGCCGAGGTCTGGAGGCTCGGCGTTAAGTGACCAAACGCCGAGCTGCTGGGCCACCGTGCTTTGTTGGGCCGCCTGGGCCGCGCTCCGGATGGGGCCAGAGCTCGGCGCTCGGTCTGAACGCGCCGAGGTTGGGTACTTGGCGACGGCTGACACAACGCCGACGTCTCGGACCCACGTGCCAACGTGTCGACGACGACCCCGGTCTTCCGTGACGTGGCAGTACCTCGGCGTCGAGTGACACGACGCCGAGCCTCATATCTCGGCGTCATGTGCTAAGACGCCTAAAAATGATCTATTTTCAGAAAATATTTGGCGTTGGTATTTTTCTAAAAATTGTTTTCAAAAGAGACCAAAATACGAAAATTTCACGTTAGGGAACCGAAAGAGGGATCGGATGCTAGTAGACTCCAAGCAAACTGTGTCACGTCACATGCATACGCGTCCGCAGCGAGATGAATCGATTCCGCGCGAGTCATAAGCAAACATCCTTCTGAATTCTGGCTGCTTTCGCTAATCCGAAACAGGGATATGCATGTACGAGCGATCGGGAGGTCTCTAGATGCCAGCCGCAGCGGCTGCTTTTGAGCACTGTGACTTGTGTCAGCAGACCAGCCGAAAGTAGGAGCAGACCAGCCGAGAGTGGAGCAGCCGAACGAGCCCAAAGCTAATCATTCCAGGCCGTCGGCGTTGAGCGCTCCGCTGCCGTGCTGATCAACTGTTCTGTCGGTTCGTCGGTGCACGTATATATGGCGTCCGGGGTAGCTTAAATGCTTAATCAAACAGGTTATCTGCCGACCTGCGCTGCATCCGCTTACATCACCTCGCCTGCCGCCTTAACGACGTCATTTTCACCTAACTGTTTCCCGCTGTGCCGCCTCTTCATGGATATGCACGAGGACCGACATTGTAGGAGCATGTTATTATCATCTCTTGTTCTTCTATTAAAAAAACTGGATATACAAGCATGCCAGTTGCAGGTCAGATTAACAAATCAATTCATGCACCTCACAGTCATCGCAACGACCCGAGCTTTTCCCAGCGTTTGCCTGAAGCAGCAAGCAGCTAGCACAAGTTTGTTCTCCTGGAATATACTGGGTCAAGAGGAGAGCTGACGAACCAAGCGAATTACGTTCAGAATTGACTGGTCAAGAGATAAGCACCGTGAATGCCTGCGTAACTGCAGCTTTCCTCCTGAACATCGACAGCCTTCCAGGCTGCTTCCGCAGACCACAACGAGGTCGGGAGCAGACTCACCTGCCGCGGCCGCGCCGCCGTCAAAGTTCGGCAGCGCAGACGTTCTCGCGGGGGTGTCCAGTATTGGAGCTTTCGCCGGTCCAAGATTTCGAGCAAATCCCTGTTGGGTAGAAGAGATTTCCTGGCGACCGCTGACTCGGTGACAAGTGAGAACATTCCGAGTCAGGTGGGGAGCAGAGCCGATTGGAAGTTTGGAACAGTGCAATTCGACCCAGCAGCTGGAAATGTAGCCAACCAAATGCCCGAATATGGTTTGGTGGCTTGGTGCATGCCGTATCAGAGCATAGATTGCACACCCCTCTGAACTTCGGCTGTCCGGCTGCTCCTGCATGGTACATGTCGTAACAGCATGGAATTAATTGAGAATATTGGCACATTCCCATCTCCATTCCCGTAGTTAGTACAACCATCAATTGCCCCTTTTATTTGTGAATAATAGCTAGTACCTAGTAGTACTAATTTTGAGCATTTTATTTTTCATGCTCCTCAAGTAACTTCAAGCATTTGTTTAGAAGATTGGCAACTTTCTTATAAAAAAGTATCGGCAACTCCTATTGCCAATCTTATACTAGGATTCCAATATAGTAATATGTGTCCACTCCGCTTCAAATTAGAGGTGTTTTAATTTTGTCCTAACTTAAACTTATCTGATCATAATGACTGAGTTTATAGAAAATATATGAACATCTACCTATCTAACAATCACGCTATTAATACATTTTCATGGTAGACTTAATAAAATTAATTTGACCTTGTAAAATGTTAGTACGACCTTTTTTTATATAAATTTGATCAAAATCGGAGAGGTGTAACTCACTAGTTAGAACAAATCCAAAATGAATACCATTTATAATAGAGGGAGTATAAGAAGAAAACCACTTAAGCAACATCAAACACTTCTAAATAGGTTGACTAGAACGTCTAGTAGTTTTAAAGAACCAAGACCGAAACACAAAGTCAAATCAGTGCTCGCCTCTTTATGAAAGTTACCTCTAAAAAGTGAAAGTTACATCTGTGCAGCTAATTCTAGTCCCGATCGCCAAATCAAATTTACGCCTTCACGGCATTGCCAACCAAAGTTACATATACTCTACCCTGCATCACGTCATTCAGCCTGTTCGCTCGGTCGTAAACGATCGTGGATTATAAGTCAGAACAATATTTTTCTCTCACACCAAACCAACCAGCAGTAATAATCCACGATCGTTTCTGCCGAAACGAACAGGCTGATTAAGAAGAAACTGATACTGCCTTTCCAATAGATATAGAAATTGCCTACAGTTGAAGATGAGTAAAGGAAGTTTATACTCGATTGTCGATACCGTTCGTGGATTAAAAAAAGCTTAGAAAAAGGATAATACTGGGGGCTGTTTAGTTCACCCAAATTTCAAACTTTGACACTATGCAAAAAGAAGATTTCCCATCATATCAAACTTACGGTATATGTATAGAGTACTAAATGTTGACGAAATCAAAAACTAATTACACAGTTTGGTTGTACTTTGCGAGACGAACGTTTGAGTCTAATTAGTTAACGATTGGACAACTAGTATTAAATAAAAACAAAACGGCACTGTAGCTACAGTATAGCTACAGTGACCTCGGCGGCGACGATTCGGCCGAACTAAACGTGGCCTGGAGTGTTCGGGGAACCTTGTGCTGCCGTCCTAGGCTCCTAGCATGGACGCCGGATGGGGACTGCCGCCTTCTTCCGTAAAATACAGCGGCGTGCGCGGGCCGAACACGAGAAACACATCGCGACCCGGACGGCAGAAGCGCATCATCAGCTTCAGCTGCTCCTGCGGATAAGATTGAAAACCCTTTCTTCCATAGTCCTTTCCGCCCTAATTTATTGCCTTCCAGCGTAGTACCCCACCCCAGCCCACGCTGGCATGCGCGCCCACCCCGCGGTTTCCCGGACTCCGCCGTTTCAAACTCGCGCCGCGGCCCGGGTCCACACGCCAGGCCACGCTCCTCCTGTCCTCCACCTCGACTCGGGCACTCGGCTACGGCATCGAACTCCAGCAGAGGCCAGCCGAGCACTCGCTATGCCTATAAAGCATGCCTTCCCCTCCTCGTTCTCGAGGCCAAACTCAAAACAAGAACCTGATAATCATTCAACTTCAGCCCCGTAGAAGGAATTTGAAAAGCAAACATACACCTCTGAGAGTTCAACTACTGGAGCTGGAATGGCAACGCCCAAGCTGTCCCCGGTCTCGCCGGTGCGGCGGGACGACAAGCCGTGCGCGCCATCCTCCTCGTCGTCGTCGACCGTTCTGAGGGTGCAGGACGCGTCCGCGGCCGAGGCGTACGAGCAGTACCTGCGCCTGCCGGAGCTGTCGAGCCTGTGGAAGGCCCGGTGCTTCCCGGAGTGGGCGGGCGAGGGCCTGGTCAAGCCGGCGCTGCAGGCGCTCGAGGTCACCTTCCGCTTCGCGTCCCTCGCGCTGTCCGACACGCGCGGGTATGCCAGCCGCCGCGAGCTCGCGCGCCGGCTCGAGTCCCTCGCGGCGCGGGAGGTGGAGCTGGTGTCCGCGCTCTGCGAGGGCGACCGGAGCGCGCCGCTCGCCGAGCTGAGCGCCTCCGGGGGCGTGCTCCCGCGGGAGCGCAGCGCGTCCGAGGTGTGGCAGCTGCCCGGGAGCGCCGCGGCCGTCGTGTGCCAGGTCAGCGAGGCCAGCCTGCTCCCGCGCCTCGCCGCGTGGGACAAGTCCGAGACGCTCGCGGCCAAGATCATGTACGCCATCGAGAGCCAGATGCAGGGCTGCACCTTCACGCTCGGCCTCGGCGAGCCCAACCTCGCCGGCAAGCCCGTGCTCGAGTACGACCGCGTCGTGCGCCCGCACGAGCTGCACGCGCTCAAGCCCAGGCCAGCGCCGGAGCCCAAGTCTGGCTACCGCAACCGGGAGCTCGAGACGCTGTTCACCATGTACCAGATACTCGAGTCATGGCTGCGCGTCGCGTCGCAACTCCTCACCCGCCTCAACGAACGGATCGAAGCCAAGAACTGGGAGGCGGCGGCCAGCGACTGCTGGATCCTGGAGCGCGTGTGGAAGCTGCTCGCCGACGTCGAGGACCTCCACATGCTGATGGACCCGGACGACTTCCTGCGGCTCAAGAGCCAGCTCGCTGTACGAGCGGCTCCGGGGTCTGACGTGTCGTTCTGTTTCCGGTCCAGGGCGCTCCTGCACGTCGCTAACACTACCAGGGACCTCAAGAAGCGTGTGCCCTGGGTGCTCGGTGTCGAGGTGGACCCCAACGGCGGCCCACGGGTGCAGGAGGCGGCCATGAAGCTGTACCACAGCCGTAGGCGCGGTGAGGGCGAGGAGGCAGGCAAGGTGGAGCTGCTCCAGGCTTTCCAAGCAGTGGAGGTGGCCGTGAGAGGATTCTTCTTCGCGTACCGGCAGCTCGTGGCGGCGGTGATGGGCACGGCGGAGGCGTCGGGGAACCGGGCGCTGTTCGTGCCGGCGGAGGGGATGGATCCGCTCGCCCAGATGTTCCTCGAGCCGCCCTACTACCCCAGCCTGGACGCCGCCAAGACGTTCTTGGCGGATTACTGGGTTCAGCAGTTGGCGGGGGCCTCTGTTCCGTCAAGACAAGGCTAGCTGAAACGGCGAAATGGCGCGGCTGGATAGCGACCGAATCGCTTAGTTTTGCAGGCCTGAAGATATATATATGCATGCATCGTAATTTCGTTGTGGCCTTGTGCTGATAGAGTGATTCATTTCATAGCTATCATTGTGCAATGCTTTGTGTTGTGTTCTACATAGAGAGATTGATTCAGTTAGATGCCATTTGTAACTATAGGCAAGCATTTCAATTGGGCACTGTGTATATATGGAACTTTTGTAAATACGTGTAGATCGTTTCATGTATTGAACTGGCTGAATTTTGTTGATCGATCCAATATGAAGACTGGAGCAAATTCAGGACCCAGGAATCAGGCCTACACTGTAGCGCAGAAGCCAGAAATCAAAACCTAAGAACACCATCAACGAAGATCTCATAGAAACTCTACAGAAATTTCACAGAAATTAGTCAATTTCAGTGAAAAAACGTGGGAATAGGAAAAAAAAAGGGGCCTGCCTACTGTGCACCCGTGTGTTTTGGGAACATCCAGCACATGGGTGTTTTTTAGCTCTAAAATACACGAATTGTAATAGAGGAAAAACCATATGTTTTTTAAAAAGCTAGCACATGAATTCTGGATTCAACGCCTAATTCTGTTCTGGTTGTTTCTGTGCCCAGCAATGTTAACGGGTCCGTGAATCAAACCCATCAAACCTTACCAGGCCCGCCGAAGTCTAACGAGCGGACAAACCGATAACCGCTAATTAAAGTTTTGCTCATTTCGGCAACTGTTGGCCTAGTAAACACACGTATAAGCTTATTGACAAAATAATGACTCTGCCACAAATCAAAATTAGCTCAGAGCATCCAATTACTATTTCATATGCTGCTAGATTTTGTACAATCTTATATGCAAATTAAGTGTAATACATTATATTGATGAAATTAACATAACAAAAATATTTCCTCACCCATAGTGAGATGTTCTCGGTGAAAAAAATGTACAATGAATATCATCTTCAAATATTACAAAACAGAAATATAAAAATTGCACGTTTCAAATAGTGCAAATAATACATATTGTTATTGCAATTATACTTTATATGTATATAAATACATAATCCACCTTAATAAATCACTAAATAACTTGGACGACATCTACACCACTAATCCAACCTGCTTATCAAAGCAGGCCATGACACTCCTCATATGATATCACAAAAAACATTCACAAATAACTACAGTTCACTCAACTATAGAGCGGCTAGTCAGTCTAACTGCCTGAGAATATATCTACAAGAGAACTAATGTTAGCTATCCTTGAACAGAAACAAGAACCTTGTAATCCAACGAGTGAGCACTCTACATTCTTCACAAATGCCCCCACAAGACAAAGACAAGTGGAACGAGGAAGACTAACCTACAACAGAACCAACACTTCCATTGGGTCATTGTCTTCACAAAGAGTTCTCGAAATGAAACCATACTTGTGAGGGTATACAACTAATGAGTACATGACTCAATCAACCTACCAAATTGTAGCACATGTCAGAAAGAAAGAAAAACAAACTAAACTATTACATTTCATCAGTGCAAGACTCAATCATCCTGTACTAGCAAATTTCTAAAATGTGTCGGGATAAATGTCTAAAAATCTAGCAGATCTATGACAGGCACTGAAGATAAATGTCTAAAATCTCTAACGGCCTCCTACCAAGAATTAGTTAAATTATTATTAAGGGATGTAGCCTGAAATCTCTGAAACATGGTAGTAAACTGTATGTAAAGCGCAGGTTAGCTTTGCATGAGGCTACAGAGCTTAAAAGACACATCAACAACAATACTGAAGGACACTTCTGCTTCTGCTATCAACTTTCAAGGGCTACATACTGAGCATTGACGTACAAGTGCAGCTTCAGTAATGATTTGCCTCTAGCTATTAGAAAAATACTAGCATTATTACTAATTTAACTATGGTGTTGGCCACACAAATTGGAATAAACAAAGGAAAAGTCGTGGCCCAGTAAGACATTACACAATTCTAGAAAATGTGAAAAACCACTCAAGTAAACTACACCATGTACAACCCACTACACACCACCCAAGTAAACAAAGTTGGAAGGATTCTTATGAAAGAATGATTTCCTTACTAATAGTCAACCCTTGAAAGTAGACATATTACATGTCCTTAGCACTAAATTTGCAGAGCTCAATACTCGCAATTTACAGCATTGCTAATTGCAATTATTAAGTAACCAGCTTAAAAAACTTATGCCTGACTGTTGAAGCAATCTCATATTCACAATTAAGTTCGTACTAGTTTACAGCTCACCCAATTTAAAATTAAGTTCACAGAAAAATACACTCACAGATCACAGACAACCTGGTTTAGTGAAGCCTGCTAAGAATAAAGTTTTTAAAGAATTGCTTACCAGTGGCACTATCACTACAACTAGCATTTTTGGCGACATTTCAAGATATGTTATTGGATTTGTTACAAAGCAAAACAAAATACAAGATGTGTTAGCAATTGGGGTGGGCAGAAACTGAATCACCAATGCACGACCTGACGATGTGGAGGCGGCTCAGGACACGGTCACCGGCAGCTTCCCCCATTGCTATTCCTCTTATTGAGTCCTCAAACTTGCACAGCAAAACAGAAACAGAAACACAGAGAGTGTTTGAAACATGGATTTCTCACAAAACATAGCATTCGGGTGCCACTCCCCCAAAACTGAAACAGTAACACAGAGAGTGGGCCCTACACGTCAGCGTCACAAAGAAACCAGCAAAGGTGGGAACAGACCACACCGTCAATCCTTCATCCAACGCACAGGAAATCCGTGTGCCCACAACCTAAAAAACACACGCGCAATGTTTAGTGTTCCCCTAAATAAAACATTGAAAAATTTCAATTCATCTCTCATATCATGATCAATAGAGGCAGTTTTTGCCTTCTCAATCTGCCATTGAACTGAACAATGATATCATGATCACTACAGAATGAAAAAAATACAAATTACTGATGGTAGAAAAATAATATGTAGCTCAACACACTTCCAAAATCACACCACAAAATGATAGTGTAAGTAAAATTTGACCACACCAGATACTAACAGGTTTCAAATTAAAAGGATAGAGTCAAGTCAATCTAATCCGCCCTGGAATAAATTAAACCGAAATAAATATTAAAAGGATAGAATCAAGTCAATCTACTCCACCCTGGGCTAAATTAAACCTAACTAAAAACAATTCACATAGATATTAAAGATTATTTAATTCAAATTAAACTAAAGATTCCTTCACATTTTCCTAGGCCACCCTTAGTATTATTCTTCTCTGGACCTGCCTAATGTCAGGTTGGAAGGGCTTTCTAGTAAACCAGATGGTTGAGAGACAAAGAATGGCATATTTAGCTCCTGACTTCTTCAGCAAGGCTTTCAGGTCAGAAAGCAACTCTGTTTTTGTAGTGACATTAGTATGAAATTAACTTTCAGCTGTACAGTTGTAAGTGATAGAACAATGTAAGAAGTCTTATCCTAACCTTCTGTTTTTGCAGGGTATAAATCCTTGAAACCACCATAGCAGAAGACATTAAGCACAACGAAGAAATACAACAATGATTTATTGATTTCACAAAGGAAGGACCATGCCAGAAAGTTGCGTCAGTAAGGTTTTGTTTGTATCTAGAATTAATCATAAGACAAATTGAACATTTTAGATCTACTGCAGTTTTATAATATAAGTAATTTGAAACATGATTTCATCACAAAGAGATATACCTATCCTTAAAAAGGACAGATAAGTGTGAAGGTTATGCTAGATGATCTAGACCTAGTTGTTCCATTACAAAATTTCACAAAGGATCATGCCTGAAAGTTGTGTCACGTCATCAAGGCTTTGTTTGTATCTAGAATTAATCATAAGGCCAATTGGATTCATTTAAGCTCTACAGTTTCTTAATGTCAGGAATTTGAAACATGGATTTCTCACAAAAGACAGACAATTTAAGCATTGAATCTCTAACAACAAAGATATCCCTATCCTTAAAAATGACATATAAGTGTGAAGGTTCTGCAAGATGATCTAGATCCAGTTGTTCCAATACAATATAAACTACAAACAATTTACAGAGATATGCAACAGATACCTCAGAGTGCAGAATTAATGATGGAGATGAGGAATCGCATGTACACATTGACAGTGGTGGAGGCGTAGCCGGCGATGCAGAGGATGCAGCAGAGAGTGAACACGGCGATAAGGATGAGGTTCCTGGAGTGCTTCTCGCTGTACTTGAGTATGGGGAACATGACTGCACAAACAGACTGCACAAACAAAACCACAAAACCACGATTGGTGATCCAAAACCTAGGAAGGAAAGATGGGAACTCCATTAACATTGATTTGGCAAAATATGAACCATCTGCTGAACAAATATTTTAATATTCTTATGATAGACCCAACAATTTTATATTATTTTATCAAATTATTAGGCATGGCAATATAATGCTAGTTAATTAATTTAACAAATATACTGTGAACCAAAGCTCAACGGTTGCTTCAGAGTTAAGAAGGTCAGAGATTCAGTCTCTAATCTTAACTGCAGATGTAGTACAAATGCTACGTAGAACAATTATATCTATCGGATCCCCTTCCCATCAATCGTAGCATATATACCTCTAAGAAGCAAGACAAGCCCTTCACATACAACCTAGGCATGCTTCTCCACAGGGCGCAGGATGAAACGACCTCTGGCAGACAGGACGTGCTGAAGGTCGTGGCCGCTGCTGCCATGGTTCGCGGCGCGCCGGAAGTGGAGTCCCGCCGTCCAAGAGATCGACCGTCGAGGCGCGTGCTGATAACCATGAAATTGAAGCAAATTTTGTTGGGCATCAGTGCATCACAGCAACAACCTGATATAGTAATACACCTACTACTAACGTCCACAGAAAGACACGACAACCAAAAAAACAAGACACTGGAAATATATAAGGACATAGAACCTTTTTTGGCACACCTAATAAGTGATAATTATTGATAGCCTGACATGATTATGAACTCCGTAGAAATAGGCAACTATCAAACATCTTGTGTTAATTAATCTGGATGCATGTGACGTAAACGAAACTTATGAATGGCAAAAAAATGCAAAAAACCGCTAGCCTTCAGTGGCATGTGTAGCACTTTGGCCTCAACTGGACATTCAGATGGAGTCATTAAGAATTTTATAACCATTGGTGGCTGTCATGGAATCCATCTAACCATCCATTCCCTGCCAGGCAAAATGAGCGAGAAGAAATGGGAAAAGGAAGAGACCGCTCGGCTCCCCGGAGCGAGACCCAAGATACAAACAGTCCACAAGGTGGTGGGGCCAGCCCATCAGCTTCACATCGAAACCAAGGAGCGGATGCGGTTGAGGGAGTGCACAGATTGAGCGAGAGACAGATCGGACGGCCGTGTTGCAAACAAAGAAAACACACGCGTGTGATATACCAATTCCGAAGGAGTGGAATTAGAAGCTCACAGCCAATAAGCAACTAGGCAGCCACCTCAATAACAATAGTTTGCATCATAGGCCTTTAAATTTTGGATTCAATAACTAGAAAACACAAGAAACAAGTCCCAACTCTTGTTCTACATCCAACATCCTTCATCTAACACAAACATAGATTACAAGAGACAATTACAATAGACAATTTTTTCTATGGAAGGACAACAGATAAAATTTTCTCCCTAGACTAGCACAAGTGCAAGCAAATATGTGGAGGAGCAGCACAATAACAAATACAATAGACAGTTTTTTTCTATGGAAGGACAATAGACAATATTTTCTCCCCAGACCAGCACAATTACAAGCAAAGATGGGGAGCAACAACACAAAAACAGCCAACGCAGGTGTCCATTCTAAGCAAAAGAAAGCGTCAGCGAAGCTCCTATCTCTGAAACCGCCAACGTAGGGAGGTCCTAACCCCCACGACAAGCAGACAAGATAAGACCCAGCCAACGTTGAATTCTGCAGCGCCTGATAAGGTTTCAACCTAAGACTGAGAACACAAACGGGGTCACACTAATCACATTTGTAGAATCAGCATCACCACAAACCCTTACACAGAATGCTAACAAGGCTACAACTATCCTGAGAGCACCTGACTCCACTATCTGTGCTAACATGAGAGCACCTGAATCCACTATCCTGAAGGCTAGTAGGACAAGATCATAAGAGACGACTGTACAACGCTATCTGACATGCGAACTGACTAAAGGTATGCACCTGAAACTAAAGGCTTCGACTCACTAGACTAACAATACATGTTAACACCATAATACAGATGTCTAACAATAAACAAGGCACAATGAATATGACCATGAAAAATTACATAACGTATATATAAAAATTACACATTTAAAATAGTGCAATTATACTGTATAATATGTAAATATATATAAATATAGAATGCAGCTCATTAATGTTCCTTGAATCATAATACAGATTTACAAACAACACCAACAAGAACGGACAAGCATACCAGTTGAGAATATACACAAAAGTAAGACCCTTAATATAAAATTAGGTAGCAGAAAGCTCAGTAGTGCAACTTACAAAATGTTCTCCTGCAGTCCTATCTCTTGAAACATTCACAACACTTTCAAATGATTTCTTCAGAACTCCTATGACGCAACATAGAATAGTGTAAGATAATCTTGTATGTGCTAGAGTGTACAGGTCTCAAAAGAAAAATAATTGTTCATTAGTCAACTAAAAATATCACAATATGACCAGAAAGTTAGTTTTGCTCTACCTAGGTTATGACAACCCTATAATGTCTCTTTAAGTCATTTAATTTCTAATGCCATATTTATTTATGGAAAAGGAATGATCATATACCTATAGGTAGATATGTAGAGAAGGAGACCAGTTCATCATATACCTAAAAAAATTGCATATACTCTAAACTACAATTGCGGTTCTCCATATTTGCAATTTACATTATTCTTGTTTGCAATTCTTTAGATGACCTATATACATAGTTTACTGCAAATAATCTACAGTAACACAGAGCAACAACATACTGACATAAAACAAATTGCTTCTCTCTGATATATGTACAGGACAAACCTTACTTAGACCTGCAGCTTATTAAACTAGAGCAGTAGTAACATCACAGAAGGCTAAATACGCATTTCAACTAGCACCTAAACTACAAGCAGCAACAAACAAGACCGATCTCTTAGCTCTGACAGGCAAGGAAATAATCTTGCCCTACTAATAATAAGACTGTAATATATTAAGTTCAAAAACAATAAGACTGTAATATAAGAGGGTGAACTGAACCCACACAACAAAAGATATACAAAATCAGTTATAGCTCTAAATAAAAAATATATGAAATCATTATAAACATATTTAGACTGAAATTTTTAACAAACAAGTGGAAGCAGCAACACAAACATAGGAACAAGCTGAAGTCGATTGGGCTGGGAATCCACGTGATGACAAGAAAAAATCAAATTCTTTGGTGGCTTCCCTAGGAGGGACCGAGTCCCATGCCATGTAGCAATGCTCAAAAAAGAAGTATACAATCCTAAAACTATAAAGTACAGGTACAATTCTAATTTGGATATCATTTGTTCTCTACATTCAGTTAGCATAAACTGGTGAAATATACGGACTAAAAACAACAAAACAAATTGATAGGTCTCCATCTAGTTAGCGCAACTGAGCAGGTTCAGACTAGAAACCCACAACAAATTCAACCAATCGTAAATACAAGGAAGAAATGTGCACATGAATTTTGTGTCCGCTGGATCAAGAATCAACGGCGCTACTGAACCCCATTTAGGAGTTCAGGACACAATTTCTTATCAGCTAGAGAATGACACAATTTATTCCATTAGAACAATTATCTGAAAAGTCTGAAAATACAATGGCACATTTAGTCCAAGTTTGCAGCAACAACTAAGTAACTGATTCTCAAATTCACATGGAACAGACGACACAATTGAAAAAAATAGATCAGCATGAACCTAAAATAAAACATGGAGAGGGAGCAGATCAGAACTGCCATCCTGAACCAAATACAAATTGTCAGAAAACAGGTACTAAAAAAATTGATCATTTCATTTGCTTTAACTTTGCACAATATGTTGAATTCCCTCTGAATCTCAACTTGACAAGGTTAGCAAAAATTCTCTAAAGTACAGAAGTTATAGGTGTTGTAAAATGTCTAGAAGCAGCTGATGCAGTAGGCACAGATGGCTGCCCTGACGACCGTGCTCCAGCAGGAACAACTGAAAGGCTCAATTACTAACCATTCAAACATTGATATGAAACTAACCTAATGCTACAAATCCATCAATGGGCGAAGCATCCATGAAACTCAAACTAAAAAAGAGACTAATAGAACCATTAACCTACATATAAAACACCGAATAATGACTGCATCCAACATGCAGTCAAATCACAATTTCACACTAGCTACATCAATAGATTTCTAGAATTAGATATTCAGAGAACAAGCGACTACTATCACAAAGCAGACTTAATGTTACAAGGAAACTACGATCAATAGAGACACATATGAACTTAATGTAGGTTAAAATGCAAGCTAGACCAAATTAGAAAAATGCAAGCTCATGCTCAATGCAAATTAGAGCAAATTTCACATTATAATACAAACTAGGACTGGAGATGTTTATTTGACTGCATAATAACTCCTATCTGCTACTAGTAACAGAAGGCAATTTCCTTTCAAAAAAAACATGCAGAGACTCAAGACTTGGCCTGCAAAAAGGACGCTCACCATTCAGAACAAGAGAAAGGCTCCGATCCATCCTAAATTCCTAATAGCATACAACAATTCTAAATGTGCATTGCAGTACCGATAAATAAAACTAAACATGAATATTTAGTTTAGCAACATATTTAGTTCAGTGATACAGGAACATATGAACATTCTGATGACAATGAAGGCTCTCCACTAGCTTTCAACAAGAATAAACAATACTACTTTTCCTTAGGACAGTACACACACATGCTCAGTAATACATGAACAAGTCAAGTTAGATTCACCCAATATGCATTTAGAACAGCAGAAGTAAGAAACAAACAAACTACACCACAGTGCATGCAGGTCCTTGCTCCTAGAAAATTTGCAGCCAAATATGCCAAAAAAACACCTTCACCAAACCAACAACTCAGCATTTCCCCATGCCTCCCAGGTCCCAAATTTGTTGAAAGACCACCCCACCCGACAAAACCAGCATTCAGCTTAGATGGAATGTTGTTTGGTAACGCATTGGCAACGGGCACAGAATGCCCGCATGCCCGCGGGCATGGAACCCGATGGGCAAGGATACGGGCACCACTTCTTGCCCGCGGGCACGGGCGCGGGCACCATCCTGAACCCAGAGGATAGTTCTTCGCGGGCAAAGAAATTTGCTATCCTCGCCCGCTTATCCGCCAGACCCGCTCCACAGGTCTAACATGTGGGACCTACAAGCAAATATATGTATATATACACGATTTGTTATGAATATGTATCTTCATATCTCTTGTAATGCACTATGGTTTATGTATATGCTCAACCTGGCGGGCACACGGGCATGGCCGCGGGCATTTCATGCCCGCGGATGGAGGGCGCGGGCGTGGTTTGTTGCCCGTGGCGGGTCGCGGGCAAGAGATTTAGCTGGCGGGCGCGGGCATAAGAAGGTAGTATCCGCGGGCATCACGCCCGCTGCCATCTTTTAGGTATCAGTGAACCCCATCCACCTCCAGCAGCCGCCACTGTGGCAAC